TGTTTCTTTTTTTTTTTTTTTTAATTAAAAACTTTCTTTTTTTGTAATATATTATACAATATAGAGGATGCTAATATATATTTTAGTATATATACTATCTTTCTAGCTTCCTCTAATTCATTGAAAAAATAATAACATTTATTCGTAGTTATTATTCTCTCTTAATAAATAAATTTCGACTAATTAATAAATTCTTATACAATTTTTGCATATACATTTTACGAATATAACAACATTTTGTACATCTTTAACCATCTCGTTATTGAAGATGCACCTAAATTTAAGAATTTCTACTTAAAATTCACATTAAATGCCATATACAAATGATCCATTTACGGTTCAAAACTATAGAAATAGAGATTTCCATTCATCGATTTATAAACTATTTTTTTTTTTTTCACATGCAATTCGTCTCGATCCTGATTCGCCGGACAGCTGAAGCTCCACCACGCGATGCGCGATAAGCCCCCCTCCCCTCCAAATAAGAGTATTACACTTCCGATTATACATTTTATGCTCCAACGCGAGATATAAATTTTTGTACAACATATACGCTATATCCCTATCCCCCTTATCCATTCTCCTTTCCTAACGCTTTCTCCACACGCGCGTGTCCTGATTTCACGTAAACGGTGTAGCGTGCCAGTGGAACAGTTCTCTTTGGACGAAAGGAAAAGAAAAGTTTCCTTTCCAGTCTCCTCCGGATGGCCGGAGGAGACCTGTGCCCGTTGTTGTTGGGGAAGGTGGGCGAAAGTCGGCGAAAAGCCCACCACCACTCTTCCCTCTTCGCTCTTTTCTCCAGTTGGATGGAGAAACAGGGAGAGGGTAACTCGATGCCTTGTCGCCCGGAGTGTGGTCCTCTGTTCTCTGAGGCTAGGAGAGGGTGAGAACGTAAAAGGGAGTCGGGTGGGAAGGGTTCAAGGACGAGGAAGTTTGGTAGAGGAAAGGGGGAGGAAACAACGCACTCAGTATGCTCCAAAGAGGAGGAGATCGTGCGGTTGGGCAACGCGTGTAGATGTGTGCGCGCGCGTGTGCTTATGTGTATATACGACAGTATGTGCTGCACGGATATATGTAATCGTTGGGAAGGTCCAAAGGAAGCCGAAAGTAGGTCTGGGTTACAGTTAGATCTAACAGTCTTCTTCACGGTCTTCTTCGACCGTACATAGACGATGCACACTGGCTCAAATGTTATATCGGCACGTGGTATGGTTGTAGATGGGTATTGGCACGCAACGATTGTGTATGCGTGTGCGGATGCGTGTGGGACGACGTTGCGAGCTTGCGAGGAAAACTTGTGGAGGAACTTTTGGATCGAGGTTGGAATGTTGGGTGTAAGGATCGATTGAAACCAGATATTATAGTTTATTAGAGATTAATTATTTATTAATTATTTATATTTATTATTTAGTGTAATATTTTGTAGTTTGTATTTCACAATACTTTTTTTTTTCTCTCTTCTGGATGTTTGTTTCAAGGAAACATTATTTGTATGTAAAATATTTATTATCTCTCGGTGAGTAAGTGAGATTAATCGTGGCTTAGTCCCTTGGAGAGATGAATTTGTATTAAGAACAGAAAGGATCGTTGTATATTTTCCTTATGATAAGAAAGATTCGCGAGAAAAATAATGTACGTGGACATACGTGACGTAGTAGACGTTTAATTACTTTTCTCGATGGATTAAATTATAACGTATATTTTAAAATACGTATATCGCAAAATTCTCTCAGTTTTAGATTTAAAAGGAAGAATTTATTTATGAATATATCAAATAAAATCGATTTTTATAGAAAATTAAATATCTAAGATTGACGAGAAGAATAAAATGGAGCGCATAAACGCGTCATTTATATTGATACTGATTCAATGTTGGGAGTTGCATAACGTATCAAGGCGAAAAGATAAGATTCGTGTACATAAATCTTTCGCCGTAAGAAATGTGTCAAGCACGAAATGGGAACACGTGTATCTGCGATACGAAAATATTCCGGCTAAAATCGAGAGAGAGAGAGAAAGAGAAAGAGAAAGAGGGGGGGAGAGGGGAAAAAAAGAGACGAATTACGTACAAATCGGAATTTACAAGTGTTATCATCAGAAAGTGTGCTTGTGAGCTGCACGTATGAGCGCTTTTGAATGTGTGAGGCGTCAAATTAAACGAAGTGTGCAAGCGACACGTGGAACGTTAGAAACATTCATATACCGTTTGATTGTGTTCGAGCTGTGTCCTTAGATGCGAAAGGCGGTTTCTTATGC